TCTGAATAGTGGCTCTGTCTGGTTTGTGGACCCAGACAGTGGGGGATCAGATTAAAAAAGTTATTTAAGTTAATAATAGCAAATCAGGATTTTAAACATAAATAATAAAACAAAATGCTTACTTGTTTGTACAGGTTTACAGTATTAATCATGGAAATTGTGAAGAATAACATGCTGACAGATTCAAAATATCTAATTATAGTAAGCACTTGCATCAATAATTTAGTAATGAATAATAATGATGATATGACAAGAATGTTTTAAGAAGCATTTAAAACTGAAATATATGCAATAAAATGAGTAAAAACAGTACATAAACAAATGATTTAATATATACTTATAAGTCTGAAAATAAAATGAAAAAATTACTAAATCAGTAAAAGAATATAAATCATAAAATATTGTAAAATGTGTAATGATGCACACATTTCCATATATAGTTAAAAGCAGTTGAGAGTACATTAGGAATAGTGCTCAATGAAACTGGGCTCTATAAACTCATGAATATTCTACCAATATGCTAGCTAGCAACAACAAAGTGCATTCCTAAATCTAAGAAAGAATATTTAGTAGAAAAAGGATAAGTAAAAATCTGAAAAGAGCTTTCTGCACATGTATATTATCTGGATATCATTGTGGATTGCAAAGATAGAAGAAATTCTAGTGGGGAAAATATATCTTAAATTCAAAATTATGTAATGGGAAATCCGTATTTTGAATTTTATAATGTAATGCTGAATTATATCAGGCTATGTTAATAGTAGCATTAATATAGCCTGATATAATCTGGCAATTGTTTGTCATTAATCAATGTTTATATTTGTATATAATGTAATGTTACTAGAACATTGTTATTTGATGACTGGATTAAATGTTTTTAATTATTTGTCAACAGATGGTTGAACCCAAGATTAATGCTATTGTTCCAAAAGCATTTATTTCTTGACTCTTGTAAAGAGGCTATATTGCAGAAATTAAGTTTGATATAACTAATATTTACTTTATTAAATCCTCCTGTTTAATCTGCTATTTTTAATTTTATAAATTACATTTTAATAATTAAATTAAGCAATTATTATGTAAAAAAAACTTAACCTGGTATATTTTTGTACAACCTGCAGAACTGAAATTGTTAATGAACAAAAACATTCAAAGTAGAAACTCGAATGCACATAATGTATTTCTATGCATATAAGAGCATATGGAGCCTATGGGACATCTTATAAATGGGACAAAACCTGCAAAGTAGCAAAAGTACTTGTTATTTAAAAACTTGGACTATCAAATTTTGGCTTTTTATTTTTAATAATAGCTATCACAGAGATGTCACTGAATAGTAATTGTATCAGTTCTTTTTACCTCTGTGTCTTTAATGTTTTACGTTTTTGTCTATTTGGACCAAGTGAAAATAAAGATTTTTGACTTTTGACAGGGACTTTTTCTCTCTTTCCTAATCAGAAACTACACCAATATAATAAGTCCTATTTATAAACACTGTCCCAGTAGACAATATACAAACAAAATAGTAGTAACTCTATCAGTACATTTGTATTTAATTATTTATTGACACATCAGTACAGTTCTGTTATAAGCCAAACAACCTAGCACACAAGAGCATACTCTTACATGTTGGCGCTTTTATTATAAGAGCATACCTAACTATCACCTGTAATCCAGTTAAAACAAACAAATTTATTATATAAACAACCTTCTTCAAATGTTTTTAACATCCATCCAAAGGTTATGAAATGTTACCTAGAATAAAATTGAAAAATCAAAATTTAAATATAAGTCTTTAATGAGTTCTCATAATAAGTGAAGCAAACATGTTTCAAAAAATGCAAAAAACAAGCAGTTTATCATATATAAAGCATGCTTTTATTTGTGCAAAAATACAGGTATATACATTTGTTCAAAGAAAGAATTCAAAACATTTTTCTATTTGCTATATTTTTGTGTGTATAATTCACAGTGGCGTATAACCCATAATGGTGTAGTACCCGTAGAAAATTGCTAGAACAAAACTAAAACCTTTGCATAACATAATCCTACCATACTGGTATACTCAATACCTATGAAGCAGCTATTGCTCCATAGATGAGTTTTTAATTGCAGTTTAAAATCACCATATCAAACATGCCCTCTTTTCAATTGTTTTTTAATTATAATTATGTATAACCCAACTTATATATCAATTTCTTTCTTTGAACATGTGGTTTGTACTATAAGGTTTCTATTTTGCAGGGTTTTTTGCTTATTCAAACTTAACTTTAACTTCAAATTAACTCAAATGTCTAATTGATAATTGAAGTGTGAATTCAATTTTACAGTATTTTTATTTAGTTTGTTATTCCAGAAAATTTTAGTTTTATGTTAATATAATAATAAAATAAAAATAGTGAATAATTTATGGATAAAAATTAGGTAATTTATAAGTATTTGTGAAATTAACAGTTCAAAATATATATCTACTTTTAAAATCTATAATTGTATATTTTCTTATTTTGATAAAGTTAAAATTTAAAATAAAAATCCTGAAGTTTTATAATAGCAATTTAATATATACAATAAATTTGAATTACAAATCTTTAGTCTGAAGTAATTTATTTCCTTAGATACTTTCAAATTCGAAGTATCTGTTTTCAGAAGCTAAAAATAATTTATAATCTGTCGAAAGAACAAATTTTTTTTTATGCATTAAACAGTTCAATGTAGTTGTATTGTACAATTTGTAAAAAAGTAAATATTAGAGTTAGTTTTTCTGGAAATTTTATACAGTAGAACCTCGATTATCCGCCCTAATTGGGGACTGGGGTTGGTCGGATAATTGAAAAGTCGGATAACTGAAAAGTATGAAAAAATCCATTATTAGTGTAGTATATTATTATATCCCATGTAATCAGTATATTAGTATATCGCTATTAACCTATTTTGCATTGAATTTTCATCAATGTTAAGCCTAACAAAAATTTTTTAAAATAATAATTGTCGCTATTGTAGCGCCACATCACTAGCGGACATTTGAAATTTGCCGACTAGGACGGTTGGTTAACCGAGGGGTCGGTTGATCGGGGGGCGGATAATCGAGGTTCTACTGTATATAATGCAAGATGACAGAATTTATTTTTTATATGAACACATCTCTTGTGTAGTGTCATCATCATCATCATCATCATCTGTATAGAATGACTCCATTAATCACTTTACAGAACTTCAATGAATGATTTGTCAAAGTTTGGCTTTATTTGAATTGAATATGTATGATGATAAAAAAAGATTTTTCATAATATTTTTGTTTAATACCTTTTTATACCTTCTTGGAACAGTGACAGCAGATTGATAACTTAGTAATGAATTAAAAAACACTGTTTAAATACATATGTAAATTAGGCAATTGCCAAGAACACCTTTCGTTACTTCACGTTCAAAGTTTATTTTCTGTATAGCGTCAGTGTTATATATATACAAGATTTTGTATGTTTAATGTGATACAGTCATAGAGGAAATGCCATTACAGATGCATGTAAATAAATTTCATTTTGATAATATTCTAATTTCCTTATTAAAATACATAAAGAATTAATCTTATGTCATCCTATATTTTATGTGCATTAATAAGGAAGCTATAAAACTCTTAGTAAGAAAGATAGAATACACAATAGGCACTTGTTAATTTCTTGAATATAATGTGTGATTTATGATGTAAGAAATATGTTAAAATAATTATAATTTTGGATTTCCTTCAACTATTTTATTATATCTGTCTAGCTATTTTGTTTCTGATACACAAATAGATAAAATGATAATTAATCATGGAACCTAAGAATATTCAACTTAACAGAAATGATTAAAGGAAAATAACACAAATATTACTTAACATATTTTTAAAAAATGTAAAAAATACAAAAATACAGTTTCTTTAGATTTATACATAATTTTTAAATTTTTTGTTTTAAAATGTTTTAATTTCTACTGAAAAGTGGATATGTATAAACAATAATTACACACCTTTAAAAAACCTTAACGTTCCAGTAAATAACTTTAATAGACAATATGTAATTTGTAATATGTCATTATTACAAATTATGTATTGCCTATTAAAATTATTTACTGGAACTTTAAGGTTTTTAAAGGTGTGTAATTATCCTTTTATTTTTTTATTTTAATAATGCCACTGAACAGCAGTATAGTGGTCTTATAACCCAAAACAAGCTGGCATATGTAAAAGAATTATGTTCCACTCACACTTATTATTATTCGATTGGTAGTATAGCTCCAAACCTTCTTTGTAGAACCTTCTAAACAATTCTCCAGTAGCTTATTACCTTGATAACGACTAATGTTTTCAATCTCGTTAGGCAATAACAACTAATGAGATTTTTAAAAATGCAACGTTTATGTTTGATCTGAAGAAGATCCAGCTGAAGGATTGAAAATGTTATTTGTTATCGAGGTAATAAGCTACTGGAGAATTGTTTAAAAGGTTCTACAAAGGTTTGGAGCTAAAAGCATCATGCTGTTATGTGTGCTAATACTATATAACTTCATATTAATATTCAATGCTAGAGTGAAATATAGGTTATTATGTTAAGTGTGATGTTTCAGTTTGTTTTGTAATTTTGGACTTCAAGATGTATTGTTTGCTTAAGTTAACCGAAGTGGCTAGTCTAACTATAACTTTATAAATAACTACAATAAATATCATTTTGTAAATATGCAGGATGGTCCAAAAGTCAGTTAACAGATATATATTTGTTTTACGTTATTTTAAGAATAGTTAATAGTTGTAAACTGGTATTTATTATTATTTATGATTCATAAAACTAGTTTAAACTGTTTTTTAATAATTAAAAATATATGTAGGTTAACTGACTTTTGGGTCACCCTATATAATATTGAAGAACAGTTATCCCTTTCCATTCTGTATAGTTTCGTAACATAAAATNTTGAACCACAAGTATATATTATATATACTTGTGGCCCAAAACTCCATGACTTCTTCCAATGCGGCCCAGAGAAACAAAAAGGTTGGACACCCCTGATTTAAATGCTATTTTTTATTGCCATAGCTTTGAAATAACATTTCTGACAGGTTAATTACATGATACGTTAATTTATAACACTGAGCTAATAGAAATGACATGGCTTGCTTTATGAGTTTTTCAGGAATCACTTGGGGGCTTGAGGGAACACTAAAACAAAAATATATTTTTTTGAAATTATGAGAAATATAGCTATATAAAGGCATAACAGATGGGAAGAATGGAGGAGTTTTAACCTAAAAAAAAGTAATAATAATAAAGTTAAACAGACTCAGAAATGTTGATTGTTTTGATGGTGAGTGATGTCACCTAACAAGTCTTCAGAAATTTATTTCTGAAAGTAATGTTAAGTGTTGCCAAAAAAAAAATCATATTTATGTCAACAAATGTAATCAGCAAGAATTTTTACTTAATATAATATTGTTGAACACTAAATAAAAAATTTTATATTTGTATGTAGATATTTTAAATTTTAGAATCAGACTTCAAATTTTTCAATATAAATACTGAATAAAATTACAATATTGATCCATTATTGTTTACTATTAGTGATACTTTTTCAAATATTTCAGATAAAAATTTTGTTTTCCTACATTAAGCTCCATTTATCATTAAAATAAATGCCAAATTTTACTATCTTTATTTAACTGATATTGCTGTTTTTGTATTATATTAAAATTAACATAAAAAAAAACTTTGGGTAAACAGAATTACCATCTCTAAAAAATTTAATAATTTGGAAATGTACGAGATTAGATTTAGGAAAAGTCAATTCAAGATTCTACTCATTAATTCAGAGATCATTCTAGATCACGGGTTCCCAACCTATGGGTCGCGACGGGTTTTCTCTGGGGTCGCCAACGTGAGAATTTTTAATGTAATTGTAGCTATAGAATAAAAACATCAAAAAATTATTTTATTTGATAAATCTTTAAGGGGAAAACTTTTTATATATTAATAAAAAGTAAAAGAAGACATCTTTTTATTCACGTCCCCTTCCTATTTTATTTTATTATTTCATTTTCTAATATTTTGTTGCTTTTGAAAATTGAAGAGAGAGAACTAGTTTTTGATGTGGCTTTAATAATATACATTAAAAAATCATGTATTATTAAAGTATTTTCCTTTTAAAACTTTGTTTTACCAGAGATGTTATAAATAAATAAATGAGATCAGAGAGAACATTTTCAAGTATTTTTTATGTTTTATCATCAGTGTAAGGCTATCTGAAAATAGTGAATGTTTTCACTAACTGTATATGAAGTGTGTTTCAACAAACTCTTCTTCCTACTTAACAATAATGATTACTTTATAATTATAAATAGCTACAGGATAGCAGATTAGACTCTTTTATTCACTTAAATTTATGTATTTATCCAATTAGTTAACGAGACTTTATAATTGATTTTTCAAATATTTAAGGATGGTCAAGTTTTAGAACTGAGTCAAGTAAACGATATCAGAGCGGGTGGCATACCAAAAGTAAGCGATTACAACTTTCTTCCCTGTTTACTTATTTATGGAGCTCAATAAGTGATTATGTTTATGTTTGCTTAACAGGACTCTAAATTATTAACAGAGCTTCAGGTGAAAGTCAAGCAGAATTTAGAAGATGTGTCATTAACAATATGTAGTGGAACAGACATGGTAAACATAAATTATACTCACGTTGTGTGTCCAGATGTGGAAACAGCGGCCGTAAGTATTATCTTTATTTCTTTAGGTAAAAAAAAAATCATATTGATGATAAAATAACAAAGCATGTACTGGAAACAGAATAAATTAAAAAACTACACCTTAATCCAACAAAAATTTAATATAATAAAAACGTTTTCAATCGTTTTAACAATCTTCATCAGTTACAGAAAAAATAGAACATAAAAATGATTTCGGAATAAATATAAAAATTAAAAATTAACAAAAGATACCCTTGCAGCTGAAATATAGATAGATAAATAACTAAGGCCAAAATATAGTGAAAAAGAATAAATAATATATTCTTTTTCACTATATTTTGGCCTTAGTTATTTATCTATATTTCAGCTGCAAGGGTATCTTCCGTTAATTTTTATATTTATTCCGAAATCATTTTTATGTTCTATTTTTTCTGTAACTGATGAAGATTGTTAAAAACGATTGAAAACGTTTTTATTATATTAAATTTTTGTTGGATTAAGGTGTAGTTTTTTAATTTATATTGATGATCAATGTTATAATTTTAAAGTGAAAAATTCAAGCAATTGTTTTTCTCTTCAAGTGCTTTCTGATGTATAATATCAATCTTTGTGACCTTTAGACATTGTATGAAGCCCCACTGGCTTTACAATTTTTGCATTTATAACTGGTATAAATTTTCTATTATGACCGTACGAAATGCTTCATTTAAATCAGGGGTGTCCAACCCGCGGCCCGCGGGCCGCATGCGGCCCAAGGCAAGTTCCAATGCGGCCCAATAAAGGTGTAAAAAAAACCGACAAATGTTTAAATTTAATTTTATTTATTTATTTCAACGAGACTTACAGGATTTGTCCGAAAAGTAATATCAGNTACAGTCGACCCCCGTATAAGATCATTGATTATTCCGTTTTATATGAATTCCATGTTGTACGAGTCACTTAGATTTTACAAATACGTGTACCAGGCTGTGAACGGCTCACGTATTTGTAAAATTTAAGTGACTTGTACAACATGGAATTCATATAAAACGGAATAATCAATGATCTTATACGGGGGTCGACTGTATTGTAGTTCTTAATCAAAATATAAGATATAATTTTTTAACAGTTACTTATTAATTATTTCTTTACTCTTGCCAAGAAAAAAATAACTTATTTTTTACTATATTGCATACATCAATATTTTTTAATGCTGTTAAAATCAACATATAATGGTGTAATTGATATCATTTACAAAATCAATATGAAATTAATTTCAATAACTGCTACCTTACAACTGGTTAAATTAGAATTAAAAACAAACAAAACCTATACACCAGCAATTTTTACCAGCTTACATAACTCTTCCAGGAACCCTTTCTCAAGCATCTGGAGCAGGTGGAAATATATAAGGCCACCTGCAATAATACAGCTATAAACTTTCATGATATTGACTCCTTCCCACAGCATAGAAGTCTTTCTACAAAATATAAATCTCAATATCCTCCCCCTCCCTGTTCTGTCATCTTACATCATACATCACCTCCCCTGCATATGTTTGGCAATCCCATGTTTGTCTCAGCATTTGTTTGCCTGATGATGCCCATTCAGCACAAGCAAAAGCATTCGCACTTGTTTTAAAATTACTGGTGTATAGGTTTTGCTGTTTGAAATTAATTTCTTTTGGCTGATTTCTAATATATAAAAAAGTTGAAAATAAGCTTTGTAGCTTATGCAGTTTTTGAAACTTGTTTCTAAATACCTGATTCTAACTGCTTTCATTAATTATTTAATTGTATTAATTTTTAAAAATTCTCAGTTGTTTATGAAGAAACTGAATTGATGATTTGTGAGGAATGAATTGATTCTTATAAATGTACACTTTTCTAAAGAAATTATATAATATATCAGAAAATACTGTATAATTTCTTCCCTATTTTTTCAAACTATACATGTTTGAGGAATTATCATAATATAACATATATTGACATTTTTTTTAATCTTTCTTTGGTCGAATAAAGAATTTATTCACTAAGATATTAATTTGTTTATTATTGAATCTTGTTTTTTATTCATTTAGTATCAAACAATACATTATTGAAATTAATTTCAAAAAATTTGTTTCATTATATTAAAAAATTAAATTATATAGAAAAATATTTGTTAAAGAATAACTCTGTAGTTTTTCCTTAAGTAAACAATATGAAATAACAAGAATAGATTTTTATGCAGGGGGGGAAAAATATTTTTGAAGAATGTACAGTATTTGTGATTGAAAACAAGTCAGCATTTCTTCATTGTTGAAGTTGTAGACATGTTGTCAAATACAATTTAAAAAATATATATGTATTGTTTTTATTTTGGTTTATAGAAGCTACTCTAATTTGATTTAACTGAATGTTTCGTTAAGATAATGAATATTCTTCACAAATATTTTGAAAAATACAATACAATTGATTATGATATGATCAATAACAAAAATAAATAAAATTTCAAATAAAGAATTGAAATTTAACTCAAATTCTACTTTATATATTAATACAGTATACTGTATTTAAAAACTAGAATGAATACTTGCTATAATTAGAACATGATACAATTTATGTTTTTGTTACCTGGTATTAAAAGTTTATTACTTATACAAGGATAACTACTGGATTTTATCTAGGAAGGCAAAAGGTATGCAATTTTGATCAATTAATCAACTGATTCACTAAAATCATGTCCTTAAACAAGTTTGTTTCAAATTAAACCATTAGAACTTCACATTATTTTGGACTATGTTTTGAGTACTAATAATTAATGCTATTAAGTAATTTGTATTAAAAGTAGACAGTTTGGCCACTAATATTAATAATTACAAATAATTTTAATTCTGAGCTTAGCTGTTTAAATATGGAAGTTTGTTTCTATTTATATTATATTCATCCGTCTTTATTACAGTGAATAATAAACATGAATAAAACAACAAGCAAAAACTCTAATTACCCTGAAAAACATGGCTTTCTAAACAATATAGTTCTTGTTTATGGCTTAATGGAGAACTAGAGAGGGGTCTTCTTGTCACATGTGGATTATAGGCTAGTTATGTTATGTAACCATATTAAAATATATTTACTCTTACAAACTTGCTTTATAAAATTATTGTTGAAAAAAAATCAAATCTCAGGAGAGATATTGTCCTGACTCCTAGATCTTTCCTGTAGATGCCCTTGTATTTTATAATGTGGTACAAAGGATTTATCATGTAATTACATTTGATTGAATGTTAATAAATATTTATATAGCTAATCCTTTATTATTTTTATGCATGAGTTTTTCTCATTTACAGAAAAAAAATTTCATCCTCTTGAAGATTAATATTTGCTAATTGTTTGTTTACAAATACTCAAATGACTCTCTCTTAAAATAATCTAAAATGTTCTCAATATTAATANGTCACGGGACACTTGGATTTTATAAAAAGGGGTCGCCACCCGAAAAAGGTTGGGAACCGTTGTTCTAGATAATGTATTAATTCTGAATTACAGGTGATTTTTGGTTTTCATATATTTGATATACAACTTACTGGTGCTCTTTTGTACACAGTACTTTTGTACCTCTAAATTGCTTTTCATATGCCATATTCATACTGTTTTGTATAATTTAAGTCAATAATTTGGAGCTATCATGTAGTAGCTTTGGTTTTTGATAACATCAAAATCATCTGGAATAATTATTGTCTAAAAATTAATTATTTCCTGATTATTTAAAGCATAGATTAATGTTTTATGCATTGCAAACATTCCTACATTTTATCATTTTTGTTTTGGTTTTTAGAAATGAAACTCTATAACATGTAACTCTATTATTTGACTTCAGACATTTGACTTTTGTGATTTATTCCTAAAAATGTGTACATCAGAATGTTAGAGATCAAATACACTTTATAAAGTATTATATTCTAAAGTAAATTACTTAAATGTTTACAAGATAGATTGATTAGAAATTCTTAGATGGCATAATTAATAGTTACCTGTCATGCTTATAGAATTTGAATTTGAGCTCTATTCCTAATCAAATTTCTTTTATATATTTCTAAATTATTAATTACATTTCAGTAATTTTCATTTTTAATTTAAAATTTAAGTTAAAAATGATGTTTCTATCTCTTAGTACTGAATTGTTTTGCTTTTCATTTTCAATATAATTTAAGTTATATTCTATAATTTATACAATTATAATTTACACTGGCACTTTAGTTAAAAACCATAAATATAATAAAAATAATCTTTTTGTAGATCCTTTTTATTGTATTTATTGATTGTCTTTTTATTTATTATTACAGTATTGTAGTTCTTAATCAAAATATAAGATATAATTTTTTAACAGTTACTTATTAATTATTTCTTTACTCTTGCCAAGAAAAAAATAACTTATTTTTTACTATATTGCATACATCAATATTTTTTAATGCTGTTAAAATCAACATATAATGGTGTAATTGATATCATTTACAAAATCAATATGAAATTAATTTCAATAACTGCTACCTTACAACTGGTTAAATTAGAATTAAAAACAAACAAAACCTATACACCAGCAATTTTTACCAGCTTACATAACTCTTCCAGGAACCCTTTCTCAAGCATCTGGAGCAGGTGGAAATATATAAGGTCACCTGCAATAATACAGCTATAAACTTTCATGATATTGACTCCTTCCCACAGCATAGAAGTCTTTCTACAAAATATAAATCTCAATATCCTCCCCCTCCCTGTTCTGTCATCTTACATCATACATCACCTCCCCTGCATATGTTTGGCAATCCCATGTTTGTCTCAGCATTTGTTTGCCTGATGATGCCCATTCAGCACAAGCAAAAGCATTCGCACTTGTTTTAAAATTACTGGTGTATAGGTTTTGCTGTTTGAAATTAATTTCTTTTGGCTGATTTCTAATATATAAAAAAGTTGAAAATAAGCTTTGTAGCTTATGCAGTTTTTGAAACTTGTTTCTAAATACCTGATTCTAACTGCTTTCATTAATTATTTAATTGTATTA